AAGGAGGAGGAGAAGAGACTATAGCATGACCATGTACCATAGGGTGTGATTTCTTGCTTGTTCTCTGTCTTTCTCTGGCAAATATACTCCCTCCCCCAGCATAATTAAAAACAAAAACAAAAGCAAATGAACCACCACCACCACAACAAAAGAATATATTGAGCACAATTATAGGCTTCATTAAAGAAAAAGGCAAAGGTCTTATGTTCCTATTATAAGGAAAAAACAAAAGAACGAATGAAACAATGCTTGCAAAAGTCCTGCTAATGCTTTCTTGCCCCCATGACTTATTAAGCAAACTTCCTTTGGCCCATAGAGGCTCACAGACTGGTCCCTGGTGCCATTTATATTTTACAAACTCCACTGACACACCATGCTTAGCTCTCAAGACACTGCAGTCCTGGCATGTCAACACAAATAATGGTTTGTTTAGTGTTATTTTTCATTCATGAGTTATTTCTCTCCTCTTTCTCTTCCATCTTCTGTTTCTTCTGCAAGGATGTACTGTGTGTTTCAGGTGCAAGGCATTTGAAAGCAGTGGCAGCCAGCCCAAGGGGTTTGATTCTGGGTTCTATAAGCAGGAAGTAGCTGTTTAATAACAAGGAGCCCACAGCTTTCTTTAAAAACAAAAACCAAAACCGGGAACCAGCAGTTAGCGTAATGGCTATGTCGCTGGACTCTCATGTAGTCGACCGCAGTTCACGTCCTGGACCCGGTGGCTTAGAACTCACGCCGGGCGTGAGTTCTGCTTGTCTGTCTGTCTGGCAAGCGCACGCGCCCTATAGCAAAAATAACCTCTCCAAAAGAAAAAAAAAGAAAGAAAAAGAAAAACAATGAAAAAAAATAAAAGGAGGAAGTAGGAGCTGGCAGGTGGCATGACGATTAAAACACTGGAGTTCCACATAGCCAACCTTGGTTCGAGTCCTGAACCTACTGGCTTGTTTTCTCACTTTCACTTTTCCTCTGTATTTGTCTTTCTCTAGTCAAATTAATAAATAATGATAATATAAATAAAATTAAAAAATTCTTTAAGAAACATGAAGGAAGTGAAGGAATTCTGCTAATTTTTTAAGTTGATGTAACTGAAGTTAGTGAAAACTCTCAACAAAACAGGGACATACTTTGTGAAGTATTTTAGTGTATGGGCACTTTAATAGGTCAGGGTGGACTGCACATTGAACAAGGGTAGCAGCTATCCATTTTAGTGGAGAGCAGAGGTTTATTATTCATTTGATAGGTCTATTTTAAAAAATGAACTCACTATAGGATACTGCAACCAGGTTCTTGGGGATGAGTGTGAGAATCTCTTTATTGTTTTTATTAAGCTTTGTTGCCATTTTTTGTAGAAACACAGTTCCAAATAACAATGTAAGACAATGGGAAAAACAATAATTAAATTCAATATTTAATACCATATTTCTCAAGACTGCCTCTAATATACAAAGGAAGATTTCTTTGTCACTGCCAGATTGCATTTTCAAGGTCTGTGCAAAGATTAGATGGGGTAAGTAGTAATTCTTCTGTATATTCCCCTGACATTGCCCACTTCCTACAACGAGCAGCATAATGAATTAAGAAATAAAGCTTGGGCTGCGAACTCATTTCCTCTATTTACTTGATGTGAGCCTTTGAGCAATTTCGAAAATTAAATTATATTTTGAGACTATCAAAACATACAAAAAGCATAGAAATTAACATAATCACACTTACGTAGTTAGCATCCAGTTTAAGAAATAAAATTTTGCCAATATAGTTGAAGTTCCTTGTGAACCTCTCTCCAATGTTTTCCTAAGGAAACCAGTATCCTGAGTCTGATGTTTTATTCCCATATACATCTTTTATACTTTTGTTTACACACACACACACACACCTTGTTTTGTATAAGATTAAACCATACAAAAGCATTATAGAAGGAGTATTGCTTTGATTCCTACCTTTTTTTTTTTTTTTTTTTTTTAACAGGTTTGGGTGTTATTTGCTTTGATAGATCTAGCTCTAGTTATTCATTTTATTAATAAATAGCATTTCATCATATACCCATACCCACAATCTATTTAGCCATTCTGTTGGGTGATGAACATTTAGGTTGTTCCTATTATTTTGCTATCACAAACTACATTGTTAGAAGCATTTTGGTACCAGCTCCCTTGTGTATATGTGTAAGTTTCTTTAGGATGCATGCCTTCAGTATAGAGGAGTGGAACTCATGGATCCTAAGGTGTAAATATTCTTGCCTTATGCACATAATGGCAAATCTTTCTCAAATGGCAAGCTACTCCCTTGATAATACAGTATATGTGTTTCTGCTGCTCCACATTCTCATCAATATTAGATTTATTCAATTTATTATTTTTATCAATCTGATCCATGTAAAAAGTATTTTATTGGAGTTTAAATTGACATTTTATTTTTGTTGTTTTTGTTTTGCTACAGGATGTGTGTGCTCACCAGAGACACACAGAGAAAGAGAGAGTTAGCCCCATTCCAGGGGAGGATGACCACACTGCAATCCCTTCTCCTTCGTCCTTCGTTCAGGACTTTGGGCATGTTTGTACATATGCCTGGTGTGAGTTTAAAGCTGCTGGGCCCAGTTGGCAGTGTGGTATCTCATTGCCTTAACCTCCACTGCATTTGCTGGTTCCCATTAATTCACATTTTCCTGAGTGCTAATAAGGCTGACCTCCTTTTTGTTGTGCACTTTAGTTAGTTTGACTAAATGTCAGCTTTATTATTTATAGGAGGAGAGTGGTAATGATAATGGTCGTTGTGCACTTTAGTTAGTTTGACTAAGCGTCAGCTTTATCATTTATAGGAGGAGAGTGGTAATGATAATGGTATCTGCCCATTACACGAGAATGCTGTGAGGATGCCCAGACCTTGTGGTCAGCTAGCTATGATCACTGTGCAAAACGGCGGTATGATGAGATAATAAGCGATGCTCTGCGCAGAGACTTCCAGGATAGTTGAAAGGATTACCTGAGATATTATTTGTAAAGTCCCTGACTTTCCATCAGGGGTAGATTAGATTCATTATTGACTCTCTTCATTCACCTAATATGAATCCCCAAAGGTACAAAAATATTAATTGGATTTATTTTTGTCAAATCCACTCTCTTTGTTTACTTATTTTTGAAGATTTTATGTGGACAAGTTTTTTGGTTTTTGTTTTTTTGGTTTTTTTTTTGGAGAGATTTTCACTATAGGGTGCGTGCACTCGCCAGACAGACAGAGAGAGACATAGAGACAGAAAGTGAGAAATCACAATTTCTCCTCCATTCTCCTCTCAGGATCTTGGGCACGCACGTACACACGCCCGGCGTGAGTTTTAAGCCACCGGGTCCAGGACACGAACCGCGGTCGACTACGTGGGAGTCCAGAGACATAGCCATTACGCTAACTGCTGGTTCCCTTCCTCTGTTTATTTAAACACCGATAAATATGCACTGAATGCCCATCGCTAGCCAGGCACTCTGCTACATGCTGTGGGAATGGTAGTGATGCAGACAGGCCCTGTCCTGAAAGTGCTTTCAGTCACTCACAGTAGGAGAGTCAGGTAAAAATGGTCATTATGAGCACTGGAATAGGGGCTGTGATGAGGTGTATGTTGGGCTCTGCTAAGGAGAAGCATGAAAGAGGGGCTTTCCCCTGTCATGCTGGACCTGGGAAAGTCTCTTAGAGGGGGCAACACTTAGGCTGAATACTAAAGGATGAGTGGGAATTGGCTTCTATGTGAGAAAGCAATTTAATGATTTCTTTTCCTGAGCTTCAGTAGTTCACTGTGGAGTTTCCATTGTCAACCGAAGTGGAGGCGAAAAAATAACAGCATGTTTTAAGGTATCCTGAACCTGAGAGAAGAAAAAGAGCTATAGTTTGACCGAACTAGAAGATTCTTCAGGTGCGGCTCACTGTCCTTTCTCTGTGTGCTCAGAACAAATGATGACAGGGACCAGCAGTTAGGGTAATGGCTATGTCACTAGACTCCCATGTAGCCGACCGCAGTTCTAGTCCTGGACCCGGTGGCTTAAACTCACACTGGGCGCATGTGCATGCGTGCGTGCCCAAGATCCCGAGAGGAGAATGGAGGAGATGGGATTACAGCGTGACCATCCGTGATTTCTTGTTCTCTCTCTGTCTTTCTGGAAAGTGCACATGCCCTATAGCAAAAGCCTCTCCAAAATAAACAAATGATGACAGAAACTGGATACCTGCTCCCCTTTGTTAAATGTGCAGTCAACTCTGACCTAATTATGTCAAAGGCAGATTTACTTGAAATAATTGCCTTGATTTTTTTTGTTTGTTTGTTTTGAGAGAGAGATTTTTGCTATAGGGTGCATGCCCTCACGGGAGAGACAGAGAAGAAGAGAGACAGAAAGAGAGACCCCCCCCGGGGGGGGTTGACGACCACACTGCAATCACTTCTCCGTCATTCTTCTCTCAGGATCTTGGGCACGCACACACATGCACCTGGCGTGTGTGTGCGTGTGTTAAGTCGCCAGGCCCAGGACTTGAACTGCAGTCCACTGTGTGGGAGTCCAGTGGCGTAACCATTACACCATCTGCTGGTTCCAATTGCTTTGACTTTATTCCAGATATTCACAATCGCTCTTGACTAGTTACCCAGGAGAAGAAACGCAGATACTCATGTTATATATAAGTACATTTGCATTTGATGTAAATATAAGCGTGACGTCTCTGCACACACAGAAGGAACACAGCACAGACTGGAAACCGTAGAAGGAGGATGTCGGTGCAGTGTATGTCAGCTATGCTCATCCCAATTAATTCCCTCAAGTCCTGCATTCATCAGCGTGACTGGACAATTTGCCTTGAACTTATTCTAAGATTGAACATCCACACTGATTACCTGGGATTTGCTGAAGAGGGATCCAATTTCCAGGAATGGCCGGAGCAGATATACCATAGAAAATCACACTTTTAAATCAAAACAACCGCCCAGAATCTCAGTCTCACTAGTTGGGAGACATATATAACTCAGATAATAGGATATAAAATAAAGATTTCAATGTTTATTAATTACAATAAAATGTGAAATCGTGGTGCTATTTGAAGCTAATGCAGCAATTTTTTTAAAAAGTTTAAATGAAAGTGAGATTTAAAAATTCAAAGAAAGAAATCTACTACAAGCCAAAATGGCATTTAAAAGTATCATCAATGAAATTTTGCTTTCCATTACAATAATACACATTTATATCTTCAATCTTACGCAGCAACAAAGGCACAGTGAGAAAGACAGCAATTGCTTCTGAAAGAAAATCAAAGAGGCCTAGAGCGATTTTTTTCCTGAAGGATCTTGGGAGTTGAAATAAGGCCTGCTTCTCTATGGGCTGACGATGTTTGACTGTGAAGGGAACGGCAGCCTCCTCTTCTCTGATTTTACCTTTGAAGAGAATGAAAGGAACTCAGTGTAACATTCTCGGTCACAAAGAGATGCAGAATTGAAGCTTAACCTTCGAGAAATGCTATAATCAAAGTAAACACTAATCCCGCTCCCGTGAATGTTGTTAGTTTGAAAAGAACACAGCACAGTATATGGAGGGCTTCGTCACTCCACTATTCATTATTCAAGTCCCGGCTGCCATGGGGCTTGACTAGGCAGGCATAGACTGCCCAAATGTGAGACTATAAAGCCAGGCCTTTGTCAGACGGTACCACTCATCAACAAATGTGTTCATGCTTCAGGTCAACCTCTTGCTCAAGTCTTTTGCTACATGTTAAAACATCTGAAACCATCATGAATTTAAAAAGAATTCAGAGTCTAATGAAATCACAAAACTGGAAAAACACGTAGCTCCCATGAAGTCAGTGAACTGCTGTTAGAGAGATGGTAAAATGACAACAGAGCCACTCTCAATAGGCACAGCAGACAAAGAAACAACTGAGGAAAGCATATTGATAAGAATAATGAGAATAGGTGCTTCAAAAAGAAACATCTGCATGTCAAAAGACTGAGAAAACTAATAGCATGCTCAACTATTTTTGTAGAAAGACTATGGTTCCAAAAATTATATGTGAAATAAGGTATAGCAAATAGTCTTAAGTAATCATCCTGAAAAATTATACTCCTGAATGCAATATTTGATTAACTTTTTTCATTCAAAGTTCTAGAACATAATCACATTTATAATACAAAGATTTTTTCCAGATAAAGTGCTAGTCAGCTTATACATTTTGACTGTGAAATTGTACCCCAGTCAAAAAAATTATTTATTTAATTTTATTTATTCGTACCCCATTTAAAAAAATTATTTATTTAATTTTATTTATTCATTCATTTATTTTAATGTGGTGAGAGAGAGACAGTGTGTGAAAGCAAGCCACCAGGTCCAGGACTTGAACCATAGTCAGCCATGTGGGAGTATCCAGCACTTTAACCACCACGCCACTTGCTGGCCCCTCATACTCCCTGTTTTAAGTATAATAATGAGTCCCTCCATATGTTATCAGCCTCCTGCTCCTTGCTCATAGTTGATTTTCGGGGTGGGCTCTGTTGAATGTATCCTAACATCTCAGAGAATGAATCTCAGCTAACCCACCACCTTCTTCGATCTGGAAGGTTCATGTAAACATTCTGCATCAAAGGCCTTCTATCATCCTTCCCTTAGCTCAACCGTCCTTGAGTCTTACATCACTTGGAAGTTTTTGACCTTGGACTTTTCAAATGGTTCTGAGGAAATAGTTACTCATTTCATCTGCTGTCATTCAGGAATACTTTCCTTGCTGTCCCTTACCAACAGCACTGAGCTCAGGGGCAAGCCTGTGTCCTGGTCCCAGTTGAGGAGTCTTCTTTTGTTGCTGTTTTCAGCATGATGACTTCTCCCTTATAGGGTGCGCGCTCCACAGGGGTTGGTGTGCAAGTCTGAAATAAAACATTTCATTTTTCCTTGTGGTTTACTGACTTCTAGAGTTCAAAGTGAATTGTGACTGCTTTTATGAATTGTAAGAGCAATAAAAGAATCTTACGAATTTATCGCATGACTCCCACCTCTTTGCCCTTCCACAGAAATTTCTGGCAAATCTTGGGTATCTGCATTGCATCCCTCTGTCGGTGTTAATTTGCATCAGACAGAGGCCCCAGGACCCTCTCACTGAAGTCTCTGCCTTTTCCTCACACCCTTCTGAGTCCCATAACTGTCTCCTACAGTCCCTCCTGATGTGCTGTCTTTTCTATTTTCAGTCCTAGCTGTCTGTGTTCCCAGAGCTCTGTGTCCAACCTGTCCTAAGGCTTCAGAGCACTTTGCTTTAGATTATAGCAGTGCGTGTGTGTGTGTGTGTGTGTGTGTGTGTGTGTTTCACTTTTCCGATTGCCTCTGTGCATCATAGGCCTTCTATAGACCAGCTCTGGATTCAGCTAGTGCTAAGTCAGTACTTGAGCAGTTTCGAACTTCGAACTTTATAGTCAAAGGAATTGTGGGAAGTAACTAAATCATGCTGTTTGTAAACCTGCACACAAATTCATTCACAAGTTGAGAGGCAGCGAGCCACAGTGAGAGCGTGGGCTCTGGAACCTGTCTGGGACTGCTTCCAGTTACTTAACCCCATGCCTCAGTCCCCTTAGTCGTAAATGGGGAATAATAATAACACTTGCTTTATGGGGCTGTTGTGAAATTAAATGTTGAGAAGATTAGATACAAGTAAAGTATTTAGAATAATATCCAGCATATAATAAGCTCTTAATAAATACATACGTGTGTGTGTCTATACACATACATATACACACACAGACGTGGACAAATAACAAGTTACTGTGGCTTCATTTTGATCACCAAGACTAATATATTGTGGTGATCAACTATGCGGGCTTCGGAGGAAGTCAGATCCACATTTGAATTCTCCCTTTGCCGTTTATTAGTTACCGGGAACTGGCAAGTTAATCCTCTGAGCCCACTTCCTCATCCACGAAACTAAGGAAATAAAACCTGTGTCTCATGTACTTGAGGATTTCTAGAGATAAAGCACTTCTTTTATTTCTTCAACACATAGTTATAGAGCCACACAGTCCCCCATTATTGGCCAAGCATAGGGGACACAGCAGAGAACCACAGAAGGGGAAGCGTGTTTGGCACACACTGGCCCCTCAGTACATGGGAGGACCCCTGCTGTCCCCTCACCGGGTCAGGCTGCCACTCTTCATGTCAGGTTAGGTGCTTTGCTGGAATTCCAGACTGACTCACTATCTACCCAATCCTTTTCTTCCCTGGGTCCAGCCATCATCTTGAGGAAAACGTGACAGGATATGAAATGCCAGCCTCACGTTTCTGCCACCCAGCCCCTGGATGGCAGGTGTGGTCACGTGCAGCCGATCCACACCTGACACCCCACTCTCCAGGCACATCCTCCCTTTCAGGTCTTTGGGCCCTGTTTTTCCTTCTCCTGGCTTTATTTTCCAAACCAGACTGCAGAAAATATCACTTATCTCCAGGGTGACTTTGTAATTTATTGTCCACAGTAGGACACTACTGAGAGCGAAAAGGGTACTAAATATAATGAACCGGCACAATCCAGGGCTGTCCACGCAAGCCAAGATTTATTTCCACTCTCAGCCTCTCATCTCGAGGGCCTTGCCTTTCTCTGTTTTTCTTGGTATTCTCCTTCGGCAAAACCCATGGCATCTTTCAGTTCAATCAGCAGCCTCTTCTGCAGCTGAGCACCCCTGGAGCACGTGACACAAATGGACAAGTCTGTGCGACCTGTGTTTGCTCTGTGTGCCCCTCAGCAGCGCCCACTCCATCTCTCTCATCCTACGACAGTTCCCGTGAAGCATTACGACCTGTGGTTTTTTTGTTTTGTTTTGTTTTTTTTTTGGAGAGATTTTCACTGTAGGGCGCGTGCGCTTGCCAGACAGACAGAGAGAGACATAGAGACAGAAAGCGAGAAATCACCCCCCAGGGGTGATGGTCACGCCGCAATCCCTTCTCCTCCATTCTCCTCTCGGGATCTTGGGCACGCACGCACACGCGCCCGGCGTGAGTTTTAAGCCACCGGGTCCAGGACACGAACCGCAGTCGACTATGTGGGAGTTCAGCAACATAGCCATTATGCTAACTGCTGGTTCCCCCACGACCTGTGGTTTTCGGCTGTTGCTTGTTTGTTGGTCCTAGACTCCTTCTCGGGAACCTATGATCAACACCAGTAAATCAGGCAGGGCCAGTAAAGCACAGGCCATCCTATAAATGGCCAGTCCCTCAGAAGAGTCCCTCCTCCTGAACCTAGCTGAAGGCTCAAGATTTACGTATGACCCAAGCCAGGCAAATCAGAATCCTGCCTCAGATCTTTCTGCCAGGGCCATGCCTTTGGACATGCTGGAATGCCTGCTCTTTTCTTTACATAAATAGCTCTTGCTTTCTATTTATTACTCAGTCCAGGTAATCGTCAGTTTAGAAAGCTTTATCCCTCTCTGCCACATCCACTGTCTTTATTTAGAAGTTCATGTATTTATTTCTTCTATCAGAGACAGAAATAGAGAGAGACAGAGAGAGACACACACACAGAAAGAGAGGCACACACAATGGGGTCTTCACTGCCATCTCTCCCCAGTCTCAGCTGGCCTGGATCACGGGCCCACGCACGTGCACCCAGCACGCTTAGGCAAGTTCAGGGACGTAAACCCAAGACCTTTCCACATGGGTCCAGTTGCATTTCCTCTGTGCCACCACCTGGCCCCACATCCACCAAATTGCTTACCACCGTTTCCTGGAATTACCTGTTCCCTCGCCTGTCTTCCTCTGTGGACTGGTGCACCCATGACAAATACTCAGTACATATGGGTGCAAGGGTTTTCCTGGGAGGTACAGGGGGTTTCCCATTCAAGCCTTCCCCCTCTTTTTATGGTTGCTTGACCTGGGTTGACTCATTGTCTCTTATACACCTTCTGCTTCTCCACATATCTGACCTCCAGGTCGCATTTCCGTTTTGGCGAGCTGCCTTCTCTATATAGGTCCCAGGCCACAGAGCTGCCTAATAACCACTCTCTCACTGCACCAGCAACACCACTGAGCAACTTTAGCCTGGCTAGAGTCACCCCGTCTCTGATCTGGTTTCAGGTCTATTCTGCATGGTCTCATTACAGCTGCCTCTGTGGCTCCTCCAGGGCAAGGTCTGGTTTCCTTCCAGAATGGCATGAAATGTTATCCCTCCTGCCCAGACCACCACTTCAGAAGCAAACAAAGCTTCTCTCAGGAGCGTTTGCTATCCCACACTTCACAGCCTTTCCCTTTGATAGGTAGTTGATAGGAATCAGACAATCTAAGTTCTAGTCTCCAGCCTTCCAGCACTTCTAACCTTTTAATATTTCCTTATCCTTAGAGGCGGGTTACATAAGCTCTGTAATGGCTACACTCGAGTCTTTTTCATCTTTGTACTATCTGTTGCCTTTGGCATTGTACTCTATGTAATATACTTAAGAACCGCAGTAGATGCTCACTGTGACAAAACGGAAAAGTGATGGCAGAATCCTCAACTGTCACTGCCGTTATTCAGATGTTCAGTGGCCCATTTGTTTTCGAAGTAGACTTAACCCACAACTCCTAGGAAAACTAGTCTGTTCCTTCTCTCTAGTGACAATGAACAAATTCGGCCTGAAGTATGACGTGTCCGCCTGGTGTGATCCCGAGTACATGGCAGGATCAATGCTTCACACCTGTAAGTTACACAGGGGGGTTCAAAAAGTTTGTGGAAAGTAGAATGAAAGATATGGTTATTTGGACATACAACTTTTTTAATCCTTGCATAGTTTTGCCATAATACACATTTTCTGTGAATTTTTTGAAGACCCCTTGGGCTAGCAGTAGGATCAGAAAGGAGGTTTCTTTTCCTTAACCTAGAGGGATATGGTGATAACACAGACTCCGCCCCAAGCCTCCCTGCTAAAAGTCGACCTAACTCTTAAAGGATGGGTAAGCAGCATGACACACACAGAAAAACCAGAATTAAGAATCAGACCACTCTAGGTTGAATGGAGTGAGCAGGTTTCTTCTCTTGTCTTCTCAAAAGTCCATGTTCTTTGACTGTCTTCCTGCCTCGCTGACCAATTTTCTCAGGTCCCTTTGTCAGTTTCTCAACCCTCCTCAACTGCTGAAGGTTGGCATATCCCAGACCTCCATTGTTTTTCTTTTTATTGCTGTTGTTTGCTTGTTCGTTTTAGAGATTTTTACTACACGGCATGAGCACTTGCTGGAGAGACACAGAGACAAAAAGCAAGAAATCACCCCCCGACGGGATGGCCATGCCTCTATCCCTTCTCCACCATTCTCCTCTAGGGATTTTGTGCACACATGCGTGCACATGTGTCCAGCGTGAATTTCCAGTTGCCAGGTCTAGGACTTGAACCACAGTCAGCCATGTGAGAGTCCAGCATCCTAACCACTATACCACTTGGTTTCTCCCAGGGCTCTGTCTTAAGCTCCCTTTCCTCTGTCTAGCATGGTTTCCTTGGTGGCCTCAGGCTCATGGTTTTAAATCCATGTTACCAGAGACACACCCAAAAGGGTTTCCCAATTTGGACTCACAAATTATACATTCTGCCTTGATCTCTCCTCATCACTCGATTTCTTTATGTAAATGGCTAATCGACCACAGCACAGAGAGGTGTAAAAGTGTCACAGACAGAACTAGAACTTAAGCACCATGAAACATCTTCAAAACAAGTAGAATGGAAATGCTTTGAGTTCAGGAACTGCTGTCTTATTGATGCCTGTGTCCCTAGTACCTAGAGAAGTCCCTAGTAACCAACAAGCACTTACTAAATAAAAAAGGATTTCTTGATTCTAAGACTTCTCAGAACTTTTAAAATGACACAAGACAATCGAAGCACTTGGGGTAGCATTATCTAGAATTATTTCACAACATCCTGAAAGAAGA